ATATTCATGACTCTAACCTGGCAAAACTCACAGCTGCCCGGAACAATCGCAGAATTGGCAGCATCAGCCTTTGCCAGACTGAAGAAAATTTGGCATGTAAGCTCCAAAGGGAAATTTGCACAGGAGATTTTGTAGGAGCAAAAGCTTCTCTTTGTGTTAAGATATCTGGGGAGTGGGATAGTCATACTTTACACAGTATATCTTAAGAATTGGTTTATAAATCCTATAAGTAAAATACTTGTGAGATTTTATCAGTTTTTCAGTTTTTATTAATTAAATGCTTATTTGTAAATCTAGGTATGTGCTAAAATTGCTTTATGGAGATATGAAATAAATCTTCCACTTTATACATTTGTGGACATTTAGAGTTAGCGCTCTTGAAGGTCTTCTATGTTTTCATTAAAGACCATTAAACCCTAATCTTAGATATTTCACACGAGTTAGAAAATGGTCACGTATCACTGTACAAAAAAATCTTTGCTCAAAGTCCTTTCATATTTCACAGTGACTTTTGTGTTCAAAAAGTTTTCATCAAAACAAGGAAAGAATCCTCTTTTGAAAGGATGATATAGGTGGCTTTGTTATCAAGAGCAGGACAACCAGAAAGACCAAGGATTATTGAAGACTATTAGTACTGTAGCAGCTCAGATAGATGAGGGTAGGTGCTGAGTTCAATGTCTTATTTTCATGCAGTCTGGTAAATGGAAACAGATTTTTCGCTTAACTTCAGCTGTCACTTACACAGACTCAGAGACTGATCAGAATTAAAACCTTAATTGTGTGGTTTTGCTGCAACTGTTCTTCTACTGGAAGTTGGAACCCAATGTCTTCTCTCTTTTTGGCTGTAAAATCTCAAGACAGCACTTGTGTAAGATAATTAGATGAAAAAATTGACAAGACATGCAAGCATTAAGTAACCTTTCCATGGTATTAAACATTTTTGAAGAAAGATAATTGGAAGTTAAATAGGGAAGATTTTTGAGATTTGAAGCAAAATCATTTTTATGAGACAGCTTCAATATATTACATTGGGACTTGACAACAACTTTTCCTGACATTGTAGCCACAGAAAAAAGTTCTGAAGCTGTGAATAGGGTTTACCTATGAATAAGGGTATCAGAAATGACCACTCCATTCCTCCTTTGCTTATGAGATGGCCAGATTCTAATCCAGTATGGAAGAACTGATTTTTTTTTTTTTTTTTTTTTTTTCCCTGTATCTATTCTGGACTTGTTCTCACTGTATTTCTGTAAGTTTTACGGTGACCACATTTGCACATGCTTTGTTGCAAAAACTGTGGTACAAGATGCGTATTTATACAATGCCTGCTTGCTTTAGCTTGTGTTTGGCAAAGAAACACTTTGTTAAAGCCAAAGTATAAATTGGAAATGATACCTTTCTCACTAAAAGGAAGTTGAAGTTGGGAGTTTGAACTGTGTGTTTTCATCCCTTATGGTAATTTCCAGGAACATTTGAATAATTCTGTTCCTTAGGTACATTATTGCAAACAAAACATTTAACTCTAAATATACAAGATGATTAATTTAAAAGCACATGATTAAAAAATAAATGAATGCATGTATCACACCCCTTCCTCCCCTTGCTCAATCTTTTGTGATCACCACAGCCCTCACAGTTAGAGAAACACGAAGCACTGCACTCCTTGGGAGTTAGGAGAAAGGACCTCATCCTGTTCGAAGTAGCTTGCAGAGCAGGCTGGGGCACAGCCAATACCTATACTAATACCTAAAAAAAGATCAGGAAATGTTCACTGGCTTTAAAGCCAAGAGGCACAATCATGCATGTACAGATTAACTCCTTTCACCTTCCCAGTCAAGAGTACAGGTACAAACTGCTTGCTGTGAATGGTCTTGACTGATGCGAACCACCACATCATGCCTCAGAATGGGTTCTGGTAGTTCTGACTGGCATGGCCAAAATTATGCCAGGAGGTGATTTTAACATTTACTAAGTGGTCCCGCTCCCAAACTCATTCTCCAGCCTTGTTTTATTTAGCAGTGTGGAAATGGTGTTAGTGAATAGTCAATGCTCCATTCTTAAAGTGGAGCAGCTCTACACATGGGAGCTTTGGGCCAAAGTAGAAACTCTTGAGTGCTCCTTGAGCTGATGTGATTCTCTCTGATCCTCTAGCAAGAACTGAGCTTCACTAGGAAAAGCCTTGCCTTGATTTTGTTGAAAGATAAGTAAAAGCAGAGAAGAGTACACTATAGCAATATTCTGATCTTAAAATTAAATAGCAATGTGAGATTCAGAGATTTACATGGAAGTTGTGGAAATTGCACATTTTTTTCTCAGGCTGTTTTTTCACTGATTTAATAGATCTCATGTGTAACTCTGTAGGCCTGATTCTTATTTGCTCACAAAGACTCCTTTTATAGTATACTGAGGCTATAATAGGCTTTAGGACTCCTTTGCAACACCAAAAACCATGTCAAAATGACTGAGCTGTAACTCAGAGGGGCTCATGCCTATTTTTATCACATTCCATGCATCTTGGATTCAGAGAAGACCTGTTAAGGTTTTAAACTTGTAAACCTCCTCTTGGTATTAAATAGAGTAGTGAAGGCCTAACACAGGAAGATTATAAAGGACAAATCTGTTATGTTAATGACATAAGCTGGTTTTGAAGCAGGTATATCTTTGTTGCCATGGAAAGCAGAGCAGCCATACACAGTGATATGATGCTGCCTGACACTAACAGTACTATCAGGATTCACCTTCATATCTAGTTTGCAACATTACAATAAAGCTTTAGGTAGGTTAATAACACAATATTTGAACAGTGAATATATAAGATTTTCAAGCCTTAATGAATATTCTTAAGATTACCTAAAATGTTGTCAGGATGGAGTTTCTGATACCAGACTCTGCAGTCCCTAGGTGAATGATGAGTAGCTCTCAACAAATCTCCTTAAATGAATAAGAGCATGAAAATATGATCCCAGATTGAAGGTGCTGATTGCCCTCTTCTGCCCTAGTGTTGCTTAAAGTTCAAATCAATATTTGTTATAAATATGTGAAATCAAAGGTAGGAACATTTGAATAAAATTAGTTGATGATGTCTTCCAGTTATTCAGACTTTTACTATAATCTCAAAGATCTACTTTGGTCTTCAAACCTCAACAAGGGTAGCATTAATAAGATCTTCTTTACAAGCTTTATTATATGATTTTATTTTTAACATTTTTTTTTTATACTTTCAATGTAGTTACATTTCCATGGACTGTGTAATTGGTGCGAATATATGTAAAGATTTAGGTTTTGATTTACTATTGAATTTGTATGCGCACAAAGATCACAAACTTCCTGTAAACTGGTATAAATAGCAACAAGCCAATAGTAAGCACTTCCCAAAATGTGATTTTTTTTTCAAAATGAGAACAGTAGATAAGTTTTCTTTCTTATGTTATATTAAATATTTCAGTAAACATCAGTCACCCAATTACATTAACATGAAAGTAAACCTATTAAAATAATATTTTTTCTCAAAAATGTTTTATTAACTTATTTATTCAATGCTTCTTGTAAAATGAGGCTGTATTTATTTACCTATAATAGTTCCTAAATGTGATCAGACAGTGTACTCTTGTGTAAAGATTGTAAAATTTACTTAATGTCTTCTTATTTTGTTCCTTTTAAATAGTCTCCATTGTCATGTCAGTAATGAGCTCATCCCAAAATCTTCAATTTAAAACATTTTGAAATACATACAAGATCTAGGTTCTGGTCACACTGATAGTTTTCTTATTATTCCTGAGGAAAGAAATGGAACAATACTGACTGCAGGAGTTTCCATGTTAAGCTTATGCACTCAGCTTGGAGTTTGATCTTGCACGTTTTCATGTGAAAAGAATGGTAGCTCAGGCAAAGATCATAGTAATTTCAGTCATCTCTTCTAATATGTGTGAAGTGTAGGACATGATCCCGTGAGAGGCACAGCAGGCAGTGACACAACAAACCCTTGTCTTAGCAGAAAGCTTTGTCAGCAAAAGGCTACATGGCGCCATGATCTGAAGATATACACTTTTTTTGCTATGGATAGCATTAAGCACAGGGAGAGCACGCCCCAGGAATGCTTCATCTGTTAAAATTTGTAGACAAACCCGTGATTTATTTTTTCTTCTCCTTTTGAGAAAATACTATAGTCCAACCTGTAACTGTTTTTCTTTATACAGAAGATGCCAGGGGATATTTGTTTTAGAGAACATTCTGACTGTCACCAGCCTTAGTATATACGAAGAAGATAGTTTTTATGTCTAATGAAGTGTCCACTATTAGTATATATGAATAAAGATGTTTTTTATGTCTAATGAGGTGACCACTATAAAGTTTCTTCAAGGTTTTCAGTAGAATATTGTTTGTTCTTTAGTTAGACTTTAGTTTTACTTCATCCTTCTCTATTTTCTTAAATGAGAATTCACTACACTTGTCCTTATGTTTCAAATGAGATGATAAGTATTTCTGAGTATAAGCAATTATACTAAAGCTTGTCATTGACTGCAACACATACAGGGACAGAATTTGTTCTTCTTACTACAGCACACGTCTGATCAGTTTTTTCTTCATCTTTGTGAGCATTAGGTAAAAGTATTCAGATTAACGTTTCCCCCCCAAATACAAGAAAACACTGGGTTTCCAGGTACATAAGTTTCTTACAAAGATTTTGTGTTTGAACCAATTATTCCTAAACTGTGTTTTACTTTACATCATAGATATCTTAGTTTTGCTAGGAACTGCTGTCATGAGCACTTTTTTAAAGGAAAAGACATGTAAGCTGACTGTGTAAAATCTGTAAAAATATAGATGTACTGATTTCCAAACAAGTTTTTTAAGCAAAACATTAAAATGCATATAAAATTGATATATTTGATTTTCTTTAATTTTATTTTAAGTTTGAAGGGTCTTGGTTTAGAAAATAATGTGATAATTTTCTTGTCATCTCCAGCTGCCCCTAGACAATGCATTGAACTACACTTCGATGAAAAATATTCCATAGAACCTTCTTGGGAGTGTAAATTTGACCATATCGAAGTACGAGATGGACCTTTTGGCTTTTCCCCAATCATTGGACGTTTCTGTGGACAGCAAAATCCACCTATGATAAAATCCAGTGGCAGATTCCTATGGATTAAATTTTTTGCTGATGGTGAGCTGGAATCCATCGGGTTTTCTGCTCGGTATAATTTTACACCTGGTGAGTACAAACCATGACACTTTTTGATAGAAAAATCTTAGCATAGTAACTTTGCTAATGATGTATAATTGTGCCGTGAAATAATGTCTTTAACTGGGACTGTGCTTGTTAGCAAGGAAAATATTAACAGCTAGAAAAACCATAGAAGGTATATATAACTTTTGCATAACAAGTAAAGCTTATTCAAGGAACAAATTTTCAGTACAGTTTTGTCCAAGATGCATATATTCAGCCTCTGCAGTTTTTAAAAGAATTGTTTTCAGTCAAATTCTATTATAGAAAAGCATTAAATGCTTCATGAGAAGTTATGTGTTTTATGGTTGATTGTTACACTGTGCAGCTTTTCTTTCAAAATGATCATTGATAAAGTATTCTAATAAAAAAATGTAATTATCTCAGAAAATTCCATCATTGCTTTTCCACTTCACCAATCATTTCCCCAACTGACGAGTGGGATCATTCTCCCTTTTCAATAAAGCCAACTATTACAAGTATTGCCAGAGGAAGTGTGAGGTTCAAATAATAAAATGTATTAAATATTTTTCTAAAAAAGGTGTAAAATTAACTGTAATTGCAAAATTATTCCCTGTCACTTTTTTAATATAATTCATTAAAATTAAAAAAAAAAAAAAAAGCAGTCAGACTTTCCATTAATTCCCCTCCTTCCCCTACTTATTGACAAAAAATTGCTGATTCTAAATTTCATTTTGGCTGCAGCTACACTATACTGCACTGCACTGCTGGATTTGACGTAGTTCTGTACCTTCTTATGTATTGAGTGATGAGTCATACCTTAATATAGCTCATTCTAAAGCACTGTAATTATTATGTAATTTTGACAATTATGTCACTATTGTTTCAGCTAAATTGTTGAATTAGGTGGAACAATATTCTTTAGAATATCTGCTAAAATTAAGAGGTCCCAAATTCTGCTTGCTTAATTATTTCAGTAACATCATAGAAGATAGCAGGACTACCTGCATGTTCTTCTATGCTGTCTTCTTTCCCCTATGCAAGGAAAATACTTATAAAATTACCTAGCTTAGTTCAATCTTAAGTCAAAGATACTTTCTTCCAGAGGGTAGCCATTTTTAGGTTAAAACAGAAGCAGAACACAGAATATCTGTAGCAAATAACCTTATAGCCAGATATATGTATCTGTTGTAAATGCAAAGACAATGGATGAAATTTTACTATATCCACACATATTTGTCTCTGAAAAGTGAGTTAAATTTGTACCATCTCTCATTTACCATGGTTCTGTGAGCTTTTGCCTTTTTCCTCCCCACCTCTGTCAAAAGTTCGTTGCTTTAGATTTCATGTCCTTCTTGTTTCAAATGGTTATGCATTGTGGTTGAAAAGATGTTTATAGCACAATCTGCATCTTATCCTGTCTAAAAAACTCTCAAGTGAAAAACAATTTCATGGACCGTGTTTTATCCTCATTCCTTTTCTACTGATGTAAGGTGGATTTCTACCGAGATCAATGCTGGTAAATTGCTATAGCAGCGTAAATTATTTCAGCCTTCAGATGGCATAGCTATGTCTTTTTTTTTTTTTTTTTTTTTTTTTTCCTTTCTTTTTTTTTTTTTTTTTTCCTATAGTTTTCAATAGGAAGCTCTGCAAATAATAGAGGGTTTCTAGGAATACTGGCCAAAATGAAAATATGATTAATCTGACAAGTGCAAAACATCACTGCTGCCTCCTTGATCACCAGTAACAGGAAGCAGTTCTCATTACACATGATTACTTGACCAGTCCCTCATTACGTAGGCATGGATAAGGCTTGACATTTTGAGATCTGTTGTCCAAATGTGTCCAGTGGGAGGGATGACTGTCAACTCATCAAAAAGAGCGATGACTTCCAAAAGCATATAAAAGAGTGGCATAAAGAGGAATTTGCCTCTAAAAATTATCATCTAAACCATCTAGATCTATCTTGGGTAGTGACTATTTATGGAACTAAGTAATGAACAAAGGAGAGATGAGAAGGAAATTTTCGGCTAACCTCTCTTTAAGGAACATCAAGAAAGCGATCCAAAGAAACTCATTAAGAAACTGTTGGTATCTAAAGCAGCTGAACACTCAAAAGAGATGCGGTTTGTTGCATCCATCTCACTGGGTACAACACTGCCTAACTGCAGCCTACATAGAAGGGTTTCCATCCCAGTGACAAGCACAACAGAGCTATTTCTTCAGCACCAACCGTCTTTGATGCTCCCCACCTGTGTGTTCCCCATCCATCCCTGAAATCTTCCTCAGCTGCCACTTTTATATTCAGTATCTTGATGGAGGCTCTGGTTTGTCGATAAAGACAAAAAATGTGATGTTTAATGTGTGGGTGTGTGGCAAGATTTAAATTAGATAAGTAAATTTGACTAAATTGGAGCTGCAACCATTTATTATTACTTGAATGGTACTTGGAGGAGCAAGGAAAGAAATTATTTACTATGTCTTCAGGGTGTACAAAAACAGCTAACTGGCTGAAGTTGAAAAAAGATCAATTTGGGTATCAGAAAAAATGTTCCAATGAAGATCTGTTAGTGTGTGCAAATAGAAAGAGCCCTGTCACCTGAGGCATTGTAAAACTAGTTTTGACTAAGTCCTAAAAAAGAAATTATATAGAATAATCCTAGGGGATAGACTAATATTTTACAATTACTAGAACTTCTCTGTGTAATAATTTCTTTGATTCTTTGGTATTGAAATGGATGGATCTCCATCCAGCAATACAAAAGTCCAGTGGAGTTTTAACAGTCTCTCAACAGGCTGAGATTTCAGGCATCTTGAAAGAAAGAATTCTCTTGCATAAATTCTGTTCTTTTTAGACAGATTTTTTCTTAGAGCACTTCTCAGCACTCTAAAATGTGAGATGCAGCAGAAGAAACATCTTTAATGACAAATCCAGAATACACACGAAATCAACACAAACACACCCAGCAAGTGGTGAAACTACTGAAAATTTTGCAAAAAAATTCCTTATTAGGAGGATAGTTTTGTTTTTATTTTTGCGATTTTATAAATTAGAGGGTTATGCAATATGCAGTTGAATCAAGCTGTATGTAAGGTATAAGGACAAAACTTTGGGTCAAGGGAAGAAGTTGTCTTTTTCTTTTATATTATTACAACTGAATACCTGTAACAACCAGATGCAATTTGGATGTGAAGTAATTTTAAACCATTTTATATACATGAGAGTTTATAAGCAAAACAAAACATATTTACTCTTTATGTACTATTTTAATTTTTTATTGTTAAATGCTGATTACCTGTGGTAATTTTTAAATTGAACTATCTGAAGCTATGAAACCTTCATAAATGTATACAAACATTTTGTTGTGTTTTTTCAGATCTCATGTATAAAAGCAATAACATATCAGCCTACAATAGTTTCAGGTTACTCTGGTTCATTCTGAATGTAAATATGACTAGGGAAAGACCTGCAAGACAAGTCACATGGTAATTATTCCTAGGTCTTGTTTTGTCATTCTTTGGGCCATTGAAAGGCCTTCACCTGAAAATTCATTTCACATCTCTGGGTCCTTGGACTCAGTCTGTTACCCTCATTTTTCCTTAAAAATTATGTCTCAAAAGCACTTTCTGAAATAGTGTTGAATCACTATTTTGTGTAGAAAAATTCAAGTATTACTTCAAGAGGACTTATTTTTGACAACTGTTCTTTAAAATGAGTCAATTTTTTTTTCGTGTAGACAAGGATTCAGACAGAGAGAGGATGTATTTACTTGAGCTTTCTTACTCAGCTAGAATAATCAGATTTCTGTTTATCCCAGTCCCTGATTTTGCAGGACAGTGGCTTAAGATAGCACATCATTACTTTTAGTTCCTTCACTTAGTAGAAGCCATCTGTGTCTTTATTTAGCCTCATTAATATAAAGGTCAGTCAATAATGTTTTTTGTTGAACTGACTGATAATGGAAAAAGAAAAAAAAGCTTTATACTCTTATGTCCTGAAAGGTGGAGTGTAAAACACTGTCTAATCAGAATAACAGCACTTTTACATCCCCATTGCAGTTGTACAAGTAGTTGTAGAATGTCAGAGTAATAGAATAATATCATCTATCTTGAGGGGGAAATAAAACCCCACCTCAAGTTCTTTCTGACTGGGGAATTTCCATATTTTAGGAAATAGATAAGATACTGTCAAATCATTTTGCCGTCTAATGTCCATGTCCTGTCTTGTGTGTGTTCCAGGAAGGGATATTTGCCAGGCACCTGGGACAGCTGAATATTTGTGGGAGCTTGCTCGCTTTTATTTATTTATTTATCTATCTAGTTATTTATTTATTTCCCCATTCTCTTCTGAACTTGGTCTGAGTTAACATCAGCAGTGATAACTACTCTTAGCCAACTTTTAATCCAGTTAAGCTTTTTGAGAAACAATAAATAATCCATGTGATTTTGAATGAGTCAATCTTTTTCCTTTGGGAGTTGGTTTGAAATGATTAGAAATTGCTTATTATAACTCTTCATTTAAACTTTTAAGCCAGAAACTTTTGGTGCTTAGAAAAACGCCATGTGAATTTGTTTTATTTATTGAGACTCCTAGTTCTCAGTGCTTCAAATCATTATAAGCAGCTTCCTTGAGTTATGAACTTTTAGTATGTTCATACAAGTGCACAACAGTCAGGCACTTCATTGCTGTCTACAGTGTATTAGGGCATCTCATCTTGTGAATGAGAAACAATTTTATTGCTACGTCTAGGATGATGCATTTGTATGTTACATTGAAAATCATGATTGGTCGCAGAATATTGTCTTTACAAGGGAATTTGTTTTGTACTGTGCTGTTCTATAGTTTCCAGTAATTTACAGGAACTGTAGGATTAGGCCCAGAGTATTTCAGTACCATAGATGTGAGACTGTAATGAGATAATATGTTTATTTTATATTTTAAGTGGAATATAGTTTCTTGTGTGGAGAAAATGAGTGTCTAAAAGATCTCACAGGATTCTCAGGTCCTGTATTATCTCTTATTATCA